GCAAGGTCTGAGTTACCTGAACTTAGAAGAGTAACCTGGAGAGTTATTTTTGAATACATGTGGTGAAGTCACTGTAGGTTCTAAAATTATTTATTTCTACATTTTTCAAGTGTGTGCATTTGTGTGACACAAGTGTGGAGTTTCCCTTCTCCTTTGCACGTTCGTTCTTTCTCAGATCACCCAGCTTGAACCATCTCGTGAGCCTGAGGTTCTGAGTTAGTTTTCTGAGTTGAATGAAGTTCAAACATTTTCAAACATAAAAAAAGAAAGAATAAGTTTATGTTTAAATTGATGAAAAGAAACCATTAATAGTTGTCTTCCCCTTGCGGTGTGCATGAGTGGTGAGGAAGTTTCCTTACAAACTAGATGTTCACTGTGACACTGATAAGCCAAGCCTTCTGAATGCTGAAAAGAGTAAGAGAAATGGATGGAAATTGAGAAGGGGGTGTTAGTAAAATCTACCTGAGTTCTGCTCATCAAGGAATGGCAGAGCTGTATTCTCTCTGTTCCCTTATTTTTCCAACTTATAGCCTTAATCAGATCCTAAGATGCAATTGGTTTTAGTCACTGGGACGCCTATTGTAGACTGTTTTACACAGCAGCTTGACGAGCAAGAGCCCGTTATTCTTTATGAGAAGAGAATGAATTCACAAGAAGTCACTGACATACACAGAACAGGCATGAAAAAAATCAACATTGTGGGAATTCACAGTTCTTCATATGTACAATTTACAGTTCTTTGTATGTAAATTATTTTATTCCTCTTGGAGTTCACTTATGTGTAAAATGTTATAAAAATATGAAAGACTCTTTCTTTGCTCTCCTTGTACAGCTTACTGGTTTTTAGAGGATTTTTTTTCTTTTTTTTTTTTTTTTCATTTTGGTAAGTCCTGAAAGGAAGAATGTATACCCCAACCAGTGTCACATAAATGTGTTGAAGGAAGGTTTGAAGTGTTTTTTGTTTGTTTGTTTGTTTGTTTTGTTTTTGCTAAATGGCAGCTAAATAGTGATTATTCTAGTAAATCATCCGATGCTGGTAAGGCCTGAGTTAACTGAAGCTGGAAAAGTAACCATGGAGACTAGCATATGGTTTCTGACTCCATTAATCTTGTTGAGCTTAACAGTAAATCCCCAGGGAAGTTTTGCAGTAATTCAGAAATAAATCATCTTTTCACATGCATATTATTTGGCGTCAGCCATGCTCTTTAAATGTGCGTCTCCCCAACAAAGGAACTGCACACTTCTAACTAGATGGCTAGAAGTGGGTTCCACAAATAAAAAATTTTACAAAGTAAAATAACCAAGACACAAACACGTTTAAATACTGCACAAAATGAAGATTTATTCAACCAAAAATGTGGGTATGGCTCGGTGGGAGAGTGTGTGCTTAGTGTAAGCATGCCCTCAAGTGAAACTCAGAAATACACTGAAGAAAAATTACTTATATGGGACCTAGATAGTTTCAGTTCTAGCTTGCAGGAACTAAAACTAAAACTTGAGGTTCTTTAATGAAAAAACTCTAATTATCATTTAAATTATAGGAACTGAAATGGATGGGTCGAGTGGACTTTAAGAAGCAGACACTGTTTTAATCACTTCTTGCCTCACCCAAAGCTGCCCTCCTTGGACACTGGTGACAGAAAGCCAGAGCAAGCAGAGCCAAATGCAAACATAGAGTATTGACAGCCCTCACTGCAGGCACAAACTCACCCAATTCTGCTGGCTTATCGAATGTTTGCAGTCCTTGGCACAAATGCCACAGAGCACAATTTTTATTACATTTAAAAAAGCATCAATAGACTCCCTAAGTTTTCAAGCCAATTATCCTTTCTAGCTATAAGATAATTATGGAAAATATTCATTTCACATTACTTTTTATGTGTTGTAGAGCACATAAAAATTCAAATATTTATTACAAAACAACCGATAGGAAGGGGGATACTTCTGATAACCAGATAAAAAATAGGTTCTCGGTTTAGCATATTTCTATGGCAGTTTACAAAATAAGAGATGCCAGTGTGGGTCATCTACAGTATTATCCCCTGATCATACAGGATCCTGCAGGGGCAGAAGGAAACAAGCATTCTGTTGGCTAAGTAAAGAACAGCAGCGGGTACTGAGTTCAATGCCCTCATGACCTAGTCAAGACCTCAGCCTCAGCTGAGTTTTCACATCTCACACTGTTGCATAGGAGTGCCCAAGGCCCAGGAGGAGAGCTCACACGGTTCACACTGTAAATTTGCTCAGGACAGAGGACTCCTGCTGTGCTTCTTCAAGTAGGCCACGTCACCGACCATCCTGGCTCCCAAGCCTTCCCCATCCAGCTGGCACGCTCCCCTCCAGTGTCTGATTTCTGACTGTACCATCAGGGTTAGAACATGCCCCAGGAAGATGAAAGAAAAATCAGGGAGATATGTCTTTAAAAATACCTAAGGAAATTGGTCAGATTTTAGGTCTTCTGAAAGAAAAGGTGAACTTTCTTGGCAAAAATATGTTAGTTAAGTGATTGAGGTGATGGCCTCTTACCCGTCATTCCATTTCCTATCTGCTAAGGCACTTTTCAGCTCATAACCCCCTGAACAGCCACATCTTTCTTGGCAACACTTGACATATAACCAAAATGTCTCCTGTATTGTGTAACCAAAGCAAATGTTACCAGGTAGCCCTGACCTATACCTCACAATGATGTCATTGTATTTTTTTTAATGGTACTTTCCTTTATAAAGACCGCATCCCTGACCTGACTGCCAAGAGATTTTTGTGCTATTAGCCACCAGCTTGAATAAAGGACTCTTATTTGGCCCTATATGCAGAGTGACCTGTAACTATTTCGTGTGGACAATAACATAAGTACCTCAGTTATGACATGCATTCAGGTATTGGGGGATTTTTAAACTTTAATTCATGATGAGTCTGTCAGTTTTCATGTTTTCTGTGCATACTTTGGTAATGAAAAAAAAAAAAAACAAACATAGAATTTAGAGCTTATGTCTTTATTTACCCAGTACATCAGGTGTCTTTGTCACTGTCCTGTTGCTGTGAGGAGGCACCATGACCAACACAATACTTACAAACATACAAACAAACAAACAAAAAATTCAACTAGGGCTTGCTTGTAGTTTCAGAGGTTTTAGTCTGTCATCATGGTGGGAGCACAGCAGCACACACAGTGCTGGGGCAGAAGCTGAGAGCTACATCAAGACCCACAGGCAGAGAGAGACGCTGGGCCTGGGATGGGCTTTTGAAGCCTTACGGCCCACTCCCAGTGACACACTTCCTCAAGTAAGGCCACACCTCCTCGTCCTTCTAACCCTCAAACACTTCTACTTCCTGGTGACTGAGCATTCAAAGAATAAGCCTGTGGGGGCCATTCTTCTACAAACCACAATGGGCACAGGTGAACGTCATTGTGGGAACAAATACTTTTAACTTGTCAGAATTAGAATGGTTATTTCCCCCAGATTTTTCTGATAAGTTATACTACGCCTCTGCAGGATCCTGGTGGAATCAAAGTTCTACCCATCTCTCTTGAAAAGTTAGGCTCAGACCAGAAGAATTCGGAAGTAAAATCTTATATGCCTCTGCCTTTCTTCCCAGAAGGGAGAAACCTGGCTCAGAGCTCACTGAAAGCTCCCTCACTGCAGCTGAAAGCTCTTTGCCTTCTCCTCTCCTTCAGCTGAGAACAGCTCATCTCTATTTTCTATTCAATAACCCTGAAGGATTTGACAATTGTCAGCAAAACCACCGGAGCGCTCCTGGCACTTCATAAATCTATCCTTTCGAAGTTTAATGATTTGTTTAGCTTTTCAGGATTCTGGTATTCCTCCCCTGGCCACCTGCTGGCAATAAGATACTCCCATGGAGCCTGTCCGGCTATTCCTACATAGTAGAAAAGAAGAAAATTAAGGACCAGGGTTTCATCTCCTATAGGCTTCTGCACTGGAGGGCAGCACACTAGAATCTTACATGTCAAACTTTTAATGAGTCACAGGAAACTATGCAATCCCACGATTGAGGAGCGTGCCACTTGGGTAGAATTTTCAGCTCTCCCACGTTACTGGCTGTCTGATCTAAGACAAATGATTTAACCTCTCTATACCTCATTGTCTTCCACTGTGAGCTCGTACAACAGCCTCTCCTTAAGTTAGCTTATGAAATAAGTGAATAAGATGTTAGCAAATTACTTAGATGCAAATGACATGCTGCAAATGACAACTACAACAATTATTACCTACGTTTCAAAACCAAGAGTTGTTTGTACCATGGTGTATACTGGGGTCTGATCCAAATTCTAGAAGTTTGTTCAAAGCAAGCGGAAAGGCCAGCCCTCGAGATTGTTATTTTATGGAAATGTGACATGGTTCTTTTAATTGTAAGGTCTGAGTAGTTTTATGATTCTTATTTAAAATTGATCATTTCCTTTGATTTTCAAAGGCCCAGATGCCTCTGCTCTATTTTGTGTTGTGTGATCAAGGAAAGGGATGCTTTTGTTTTTTCCTTGTAAGTGTGTCTGTCAGTGGACAGCTGTCTCTAGACAGAGAAACCAACCACTTCAGTGTGTCTGGAGCTGAGAGGGTTCCAGAGACACAGAACTTTTACTGTTAAAACCAGGAAGATCCTTGCCAGCTTCGTGTTACAGCTATTACATAACCTATACAGATCCATGAGAAAGGGGTGTGGTAGTACTGATCTCATCAGATACTATAGAGTTCTTGGTACAACAGCTGCTGCCTTGACTGGCTTTCTCCAGAGCTGGGCTCACACGCAAAGCCTAGCACATTTTACAACCTCATCTCCTCTTCCACTGAGCTGCAAGTTGATTTTTGATTCTATCAATTGTTTATAAGAATCTAAAAAGCACAACTGTACTCAAATAATTAATTCTAAATGTCAAGTGTCTGGGCTTCATTTTTACCATGATCATGCTCTCTGAGACTTCTGTATATTTTTGCTTTTCTAGTCCCCTCTGATCATTTTCATAGCTGTTACTTTTCTTTCAGGTCAACTCAGATCAAAACATACTCTTGGGATAATGCCCAGGTTATCCTGGTTGGAAACAAATGTGACATGGAAGATGAACGGGTCATTTCAACTGAGAGAGGCCAGCACTTAGGAGAACAGCTTGGTAAGACACAAGTTAAAAAGAAAGAAAGCTTGGTGATTGTCACACTGATCAGAGGATCAGAGTCACGGGGGGGGGGGGGAGGTTTGTGTGTGTGTGTCCCTGCTCTTCATTTTGTTTTATTCTAGTCCGCTCACATAATTTTACACTGAATTGAGTACTTTATTGTGATCATTATTGTTCTCAGGTTCCTGCTAAGGGTAGTAATGACAAAGAATAGGTTATAGTCTTGATTCCAGGCTTCAGATCTTCAACGATGAGCCATGGTACTGTTAAAAAAAAAAAAAAAAAAAAAAAAAAAAAAAATTTGGGATCAATCTCATTTCAGAAGAATGAGGATCATAACCTGTGCCCACTTAACAGAGCACTTAGAGATAACATCCAATGATGTGGCACGCACGGTGGATAGAAATATCGTGACCATTTCAAACACAAAAAACACCTCTGAAGAGGAAAATGCCACAGCGACTCAGGTACAATTTCAGAAGAGATCTGTGGCTGGTTGATTGAAGACACTTTTACTCAACTATTATATGTCTTCTATCGTGTCAGACAGGATAGAGAATACAAATAATAGCAGTAATACATGACCACATGGAAAGGCTAAAGGTAAATATGATATAGCAAAGCTAACAAAGAAGCGAAGCAGGTCGGTGAGGAGTTGATGATATAGAACGTGGAGAATGGCAGAAAGCTGCAGGGGAAAGCGGGAGAAACACAGGGAAAGAGAGGATGTTGTGAGGAGGAGGTGTGAGAGCAGCAGTGGCACAGGAGTTAGAGGGTAGAGAAAAGAGAAGACACCTGCAGAGATGGTGGGCGGGGCTTCTCGGGTGAGGCAGCTGATGAAAGCGATGGGTTAAACAGCAGGGTACGTTTTGAAGAGTCCCTAGGGAAGGAAAAGTCAGTGAAAGGAGATGGGGTATTGCCAGTAAAGGGCACAGTGGAGCACAGATATTAAAGAGAGTCAAACTGAGAGGACAACAAGCAGGAAAGTTCCAGCCTGGCATCACAAGTGAATCCATCTGGGGGACAATCCCAGCCCTGCAACCTAGCGTGCATATATATAGAGAGAGAAGATGCAACAAGAGGTTGTTCTGTCCTTGGCACTACACGATGCCCTCCCTCTACTCGGCATCTCACCCCTTTCCTCTTCTGTACCGAGGGCCCCAACTCCCAGTTGATCCCAGTAATGAGGCACAACCCAAAATGTGAAAAACACAACCATGTAATGGATGACCTACCCTTTGCTCGATTTTTGGAAGCATGGACTGTCAAAGCACAGCCGTTCCCCATGGGTCAACCTACCACTGGAAAATCCCAACAGCTGAGTAGAGTCCGTTCTCTGAATGTTATTACTTCCTTGTGGGATCTATGAGCTTGTTCCACTGAAGGCTGTCACTGGATGACCACAGACACGGGTCCTTCCCTGATACCAGCTATGAAAACATCATTAGTGCGGTAGTGAGCCTTGCTACAAATGCTCATTAGCCTCTATATTCTCTGACAGAGGACCTCTCCTCATGCTACGCATGGTTGAGAGTCTTAGAAGCTTGGTGGCTTTTCCTAGCACCTCAGGAAGATTGGATTAGAGATGAGTAGATCCTCTGTGTAGGAGAGAAATGAACCTGGGAGGCATTCCCATGTGGCTTCCTCAGGCTCCTTTTGCTTTCCCTCTGTTTATCATCTAGCTATGCATATCTCTCCCGGGAGAAGAAAGCAGAAGCAGGCTGTCTTTATAAGTAAAGCTAAAAACTGTTTGGCTCCAGGAAAAATAGAGTAACGTTAAGAACAAGTCAATGTCATTGTCACAAAGGGACAAGTGACAGCTTTATTTTAACAATAAACAACTTGGCTGTTGAGCAGATCCGGCAGGAGAAAAATGTTAGAATGATGGAAGTATTTCTGGAGATGCTTTCAGTAGACACACATATGCACACACACACACACACACCATCACACACACCCTCCATTCACTGCACAGATGTGGGAAAGCTTCTCAGATTGAGAGACAGATAGATTTTCTTTTTGCTCCTGTGCAAATTCTTCCAATAGTCTCTAATTGATCTTTCTTTCTTTCTTTCTTTTTTTTTTTTTGTTTGTTTGTTTGTTTTTGGCTTTCTAGCCAATAAATCTCAGCAGTTGTCATAGCAACCAGCAAGTGTGACATCTTGGAGATCATTTACCTCTACTGTGGTTCATTCTCCTCATGACTACACACCCTTTACAAATGATCAGGAGAGACAATTCTTAAAACTAGTAACTCCCTTCATGTAAATTACAAGGCTTTGAGGGGTTTTCTTTTGAAAAGAAAATTAGCAGTGAAATTGCATTTCTCAGAGATTAGGCATTCCTTTGCCATTCTCAGAGATCAGGCATGCCTTTTCTAAAGGTTATTACTTCCTCTTGGCAGATAGCTAAAAACACTGCTTTATTTATCTGTTTATGATTAACTCTATATTACTGATGGTTATTTTTGTATATTATTTTCTCATCCAAATGAGGGCAATAAATGAAGCTGTTCTACAATTGAGGCTGAGGTCTCTGGAATTCTTGTAGGGAAGGTGCTCTTGTCAATCTGACTTATTTTTTAGGTCTCCAGAAAAAAAAAATGTTTATTAAGTATTTACAATATTCTGAGTGCTTGGCATGCATTTTGACAGACGATTTTACCTTCTGGAAACAACCATCATAGAGTCTGTGAGTGACAATATAGACAAGGAACATTCACCTCCCTTCCCTCTCCTGGTTGTTTTATTCCATTTGGTCCTGAGAAGCAGTTCCCTGTCATTAATTGTGGGGCTCCACGTCCCCTCACCTTGTCCAGCTCTGTGTTCCCTCTCTAGGCAGCCATCTCCTCCTTCAACTGCTTCTTGTATCCCTGGCCGGCCACACCCTACCCTACGTACTTCCTTGGAAGTTCTTGTTCACTCTGAGGTTTTAATTCAACCTCATAACAGACAAATCAGATGCCAACAGCGGACGTATGAGTAAGATTCAGGTACCTTTTTCCACTTGAAACAACTGGGGTTTCAAATGAAGCTTATATAGCTAAATTTTGTCAATTATAAATGGACTCCGACAGAAAGGCACCTTCTATATCTGTGACTTTTAAACCACGTATATTTATTTGATAATTTCTGGTTTAAGAGAACCATCTTTTAAAATAGGAAAGGGTAAAGCAGTAGAATGGGCTTCCTGCTCCCACAGCAGCATCCCTGAAAGTGTGAGGTGGGCCAGGCATAATGTGCCATTGTTTCCCAAAAGATATAGATGACTCAATGCAGATAAATCCCAGAGATGGCAGACAGAGTTTGCCTCCGTGGAGTACAGGAGTTGGTGCCATGGGGCTTGAAAAGACAGCTGAAGGATGTGAAGCATTCACGTCCAGGTGGAAAGTCTACCTCAGGACCACAGCAACCCTGATTCTGGTTGTGGCTGAGCCTGAATGACCCCCACAGTGCTGATGTTGACTTTGGCATCCTCAAATTTGCTCCTAAAAATCTCTGCTCTCAGTGCTAGCCATGGTAGGAAAAAGAGTGAAAGGAACCTTAGGTACAGTTGTCTGCCTGTGGGAGCTCTGAGCATTAGGAATCTTTGGGCTGACCCTAAGCAACTTCAACCAGAGAAAATTATAACAGCCATCTGTCCCTAAGGGCTAAACTCTACTCTGAGCACCATTACCTTGACATAACCTTGAGTTACGAAATAGATTTTTTGCATTTAGTTTAGTCCAGGAGGAAATTTGGGTGTGTGTATCTATAAGCTTACTTAAGCTTGTCTCTTAGGTCCTGTGATCTTCCAGTGATCCCATAATCCTGAGAAAGAAGCCAGTAATGGTTCCATTGTTACTAAGAATGAGTTCTCCTAAATACAGTCTCACTTGTGCTCAAATTTTCTCCTTCAAAATACATCCATCAAATTGGTACAGACATTTTTAAGGAGACTTGGAGAGAGCCAAAAATGAGATTGTAGACAGAGATGTTTTTCATTTGTCCAGGAAGGATGCAGAGAAGTCCAGTGGGACATGATCAGAATCCACTGAACTAAAACCAGTAAGCCAAAAGTTCTCATTGAACTGTCATAGAGTCACACTGAGACTGATTCTTGATGGACACAGGAGACAGATGCTTCACAATGAAATTTGGGAATGTGATACAGAATGATTCTTCATCTGTGCATTCATTTGGCCTTTCATTCTTCCGCTCAGTGTTGCTGAGCACTCATTGGTTAGGCATGGGTAGTCACAAGACTCTAGTCTACAGAGGGATTAAAACACAATGACTTTTACAAGACAGTCCATGTGGATCTCCAACAGAATTGAAGACCAGGTTTAGAGGAGGTCAAGAGATTAAGAACATCCCCATGCAGAGGCACAAAGGAAGACCACACTGATAGTGTTTGCAGAAAGAATATAAAATGTTGATGGATGGGCAAAGAGGTGATGGTATCTTTACTAAAAAGAATGTGTGTGCTGGAGAGGTCTAAACTCATAAAAACTCGTATCACTGAGAGCCCATTCAGTAGACTGGAGAGACTGGGATTGGCTCTACACATTCTCAGGAAACAGTGGCAGCAATTAAAGAAGAGAGTAGCAAGACTAGATTTCATTTCAGACCAAGTACAAAGGTACCATTCCTAGAATAGGGGTGTTCAATGTCAGGCAGAGTATACGAAGCAAGTATTATACATATACCTGTATCTCAACTTCAAATTTTCAGTTATTAGATATGTTGTTCCAAGAGCGTATTATGTAAATTATAAGACTAATCTTCATGTATTAGAATAGTGTTTAATCTTTTAAAGGCTGGGTTATATGATAGTAAATATTCTGAAGCCATTGGTGAAAAAGTAGATTAGAGGTGACTGACAGGAAGGATGGAGTCCAACAGGATCACATCACAGGAACATGGCCAAGGCCTGAATCAGTACAACAACAGTACTCGGGGAACATTAAAAATCAGGCCAGGACCCTACATCACACACACACACACACACACACACAC